TGTGTTTTTGAAGTCGGTTAAAAAAACCCAAGTTGTATTTATTCTGCATTTATAAATAACTTTTGTTTACTTTTTTTTCATCACGAATTAATTGTTTTGGACTAGAGTATTTAAAAAGTCAATTGAAGCAAATTTATTTCCGAGGTTCACTTTGACGTCGCATTTACTAATTATATCAAATAAGATCAAAGATAATCTATTGAGGTACATAATACCTCGATATGACAAAGATAAGTAAGATAAGTACAGGAAATTAATTTCTTAACGTATTTCGATAAAATTTCTAGTCAGTATTGTGTATTTTTCAAAGATATCGCTAAAGGAAAAAACAAAGGATTAGTTTATATAAAACATAAAAGAGTAAAATAAAAATGCGTCCAAGAAAAACAGCAAATTCTAAATGATATATAAATGATATTTTTTTTAAAGCAGCAGTAGTCGGTTTATTATGTTGCAGTAATGGACATATTTTCATTAAACACGTTATACTATTACTGTTATTTATCTCAGCAGTATAAGATTTGCAACGTCTGAGGCCGTGGAAGCTAACATGGTATTTTTGTGACAGAAACAATTATTCTTTCCTTAATTAATCCAGGTATATCTTTAATATATTTTAAGTCTTAACTTATTATCTTCAATATTAAATAGGGGTGGATTCTGCATAGTTTCATAATTTACTATATTTCGATTCAAGGAATCGACTTTTATTTAAATAGGAACTGTTTTAAATCTGCACTAAATGGTTTCTCTGGTATAAATTTCCCTATTTATTGTAAAATAGCAACAATAATAAAAAATATTCTTTATTAAGTTTGGGTTATTAGATAATCTGGTCCATATTTAATTTATTTAATCGAACAAATTAAAGATTTTGGTTTTTTTCATTTCATGCATTCCTTGTGTAATGAACTTTATGAATAAACACATGTGTTTGTAACTATTTACATTAAAAGCCTTGAAGAGGAAAACTGCAAAGTAACTTTCGTGAAGCTAGTCTTTGGACCTCCTTTCACGACCTCTTACCTACTAACTACTAAACTAACAGGTCAGTCAAGTTAGATAAATACCACTTCCGAGAATAATAAATTAAGAGACTAAGAATACATACAAGAGTTTTTTATTTCATAATTTAGACACACAGAAGTCGGTTATAAAATAATTAGGATGCTAAAGTTGAGTATGGACGAATGTAAAATTTTTATAAATATTACTTTTATTTTGGAATACTTACATAGGGAGGAAGTGCACAAAACTAAACATTTGTCTACTTCTACCTTGGTTTAAAATACTGGACGTGTAAATATTGACTTGATAGCTCAAGTCACTAAAACCCGTCAGAGACATAAAAGAAAATATTCGAAGGTTTATGATTTACGTAAACAAACAATATTATATAATACAACCATAATATTAGTATGAGTTTTTATTCAAATTCCTTCACAGTTCGAAATTCTGTTGCTCACAATGAATAAACCCTGACCGATTGGTTTATATTAGAAAGAAATGTATTGGCATCATTCTCAATCGGCTATTACTTTATATAACCTTGCTTCCATTTTCGTCTATTGTACCATATGCTGTTTTTCATTAGTATCCTTTCTTTTTTACTCAAATGTGGAAACAAGAATAAACATTTTATAAGACTACGGAAAAGCCAAACAAGGGGTTTTATGTTTTTCTGCAAAACCGGTTTAGCCGTTGACTAGGACTCGGGTTCTATTGGCATTTTAAAATAGAAAATATCGGATTAATGGCTTAAAGTTTTACTCCCTATGTTTTCAAGGTGTCATGAAACTTTAAAAGGAGGGATTTTAATAATTGATTACACAGATATATATTATAGAATTTATATTTCATATATTTGTTTCAATTAATATGTTTAACAAACTGCAAAGTAAGAGGCAGTGAGTATTGACCTTTGTTATGTTTGTCACCTCGGTTATAAACAGCCTTTAATAGTCCACTGCTGGACATTGGCCTCTCCTTAGAAAGGACGGATCGGTATAGGGTTTGTTTCAAGTTTTCCATCTCTTTGCATTGCTGTAATATTGTCCTGCGTTGTTGTTCCCTTAGTCGACTCTTACGACAGCCACTGAATGAACAGGGGTGGTGACTCTCCGTATTCTTAATCCCTCACCACACGGATTACCTCTGAACTTCGTCATTTATGTAAGAATTTGTTAAATTATTATTTTATTTATGAGTTTATACTTTCGGTTCAGCTCAAATTGAAAGAAAATTTAGGAATGAAGACTATAGTTTCGTCATGAAGTAGGCGCAATGAAGTCACTGATTATTTTTTTAAAGTTAATTATGTAAAAACGTCAAGTAATTTGAACAAAATATTATTTTATCATTTCTTAATAAGGTATTTTTGTTGTTAAAATTGCTAAAGTAAACATAAAAAGAAATTGTTAGTCGCTCAACGCACTGAGTGTTTAAAACATAGAAAGTTGATTTATTTGCATACAAAAAGAAGGGCTCAGGAGCTTTACGCGGCGATCAATATGATGTAAAGAGAGCCAATGTCGAGTGTAACGGCACATGTGGAACTTTTCCCCCCTTCAAGTAACTACTAAAAGATTAATAATCATACCGTACTATGACTAATCATAAGTGAAATCGATTTCATTCTCAGGTTTTGTTTTATGGGGAATGATCTTATTGGACGTAAATTCAGTGGTTTAGAACTACTTTGAATATGTATTGCAAAGAAATCTTGTTCTTGTTTTTGATATAGAATTCCACAAATCCGTAAAAGCACATTAGCCCATATTAATATTGTTGTTAGGACATTGTGGTTGGGTAGTGGCAAAACTTTTTTGATAAATGTCGTTTCTTTCGGTAATGTTCGGATCTAATAAGTAAGCAACCTTAATTTGAAGACACTTACTTACTTTGTGGGATCTATTTATTTAGGGGTTACTGTCGGGCTGTTTGGGCAGGGGTTAAGGGTTCGAAACCCATCCAGAACAAAAACTGAAAATATATGTATTAATTGGCTGTCTAGATTCCATAGCAATGGCTCTACATGGTTTGGGATAAGAAGGACGTTTGTGAGGTGTCTTAAGCTGTTATTATTATTACGGCTGAAACGTTGACGAGAGAAGTTATTTTTTTTGTAATCATACGTATCTTTACTTTCCAATATGTCGATTCTAACACAGAAAATTGACAAATAAACTATCTTATCATTTTCATCAGACAGATGAAATAATTAGCTGCCTTAAATTTATATTCAGTTAGGTTATTTTATTCGCGGGTATTAAACATTCCAGTAAATTCTAGAGATTGGTGACATCGTTGTTCTAATAGGCAAGTACTTTTGTACAGTAATTTTTAAAAAATGTGTTACTTTTTCGAATTTTCTTTCAATAAATCTTTGTTGGTTCATTTTTAATATTTTTATAATTTTTTAAGAATAACATTGTTCTGGACTTCAAGAAGGCAATGTTATTCTAAAAATGAATGAGGGTCTTTAAGCAAGCAACAAGAATAAATGTCTTCAATTTTTATTTGATTCAATTAAATCGTACCTACTTCTAAAAATATTTTAAAAAATTGAATTTTCGGGATGAAAAGATTTTGTTAGAAACGCTTAGTTAAGATTGTGTTATCGTTGAAACATGATTCAAATGTTGTTTCAAAACACTACGAGAAATAACATTATTATATAGTTGGAAAAGCGCTCAAAAATCTTTGAGAATCGATTACCTTAATGAAGAAACTATTTAAATGACACACTACAGAATCGTTTTCTACAATAGAAGGTAACATAATAGGTAGTTTTAAAAGATTGGTAACAGAAATAAAATACAACAAGACAGAAGTATTGTGTATAAAGAGAAATTTCTCTCCTACCTCCCTCCCACCAACTTTTCTAATGAGCCATGAGAGCCACACGTGGTCTTCTGAGTAAGTTACATTGTATGTGTGTTGTGTATATTTTAAACACTTAGCCTTCACGCCCTTTCCAAATTTACTTCTTAAGAAAATTATGTTTAACCTTCATGTACTTGCAACCCCTTTTGTGAATGGCACGTATGTGGCAAAAAAAGAAACTTGTAAATACACAATTCTTAAGAATTAATTTATTCTATCATATCACACACATCACCAACCTTTAATAGTCCACTGCTGGACATAGGCCTCTCCTTAGAAAGGAGGTATAGGCCATACCTCCTATACTATACCACGCTGGCCAGATGAGTTGGTATAGAGGTTGTTTCAAATTTTCTTTCTCTTTGCAGTGCCTTTGTCCTGCGTAGTTTGCGCCCTTAGTCGACTCTTACGACACCCATGGGGTGAATAGGAGTGGTGAAACTCCAAATTCTTATTACGTCACCACACGGATAGAACCATTTATTCTATCCATTCCTTTAAATGAAATTGTGCACGGAAATCTTTTTAATCTTACTTACATCGTTGTTAATTTTAAGTAAGTATCCTAACATTAATAAATAAGTATAAAATGATGATCTTTTGTGTGTAGTAAGTCAATAAAGTTATAAGACACAGTAAATGTGGCATCTGTTGGAGCATCTGCGTGCAGAAGAATAAGAAGCAATAACTTGATAAATGTACGTACGTGCGAGTGCCGAAGGATTTTTACAAACGGCTCTACCCAGTGTATGCTCTTAAGCTGATCGCTAGTATGTATGGATGAACCTTTTCGTATATGCAGCGTATAAAATAACTTCACATATTTCTTGCTCTAGTAAACGTTATAGCATGATACTTTTAATTGTATTAAAGTGATACTCTTGGCCCTGCCTCCCTAATGGAAATCGTCTACCGAACGGTATTGTTAATGTAAAAAAATCCTCAGAAACGCGTGCAACGCTGTAGAATCGGGGTTAGGGGTATGAGTCAGTCATCACATATCAGTTTATTGAACTTAGAATGCGAACACTATATGACCGATTCATTCCTATCCATTCTAACATTAACAATTTAATATAACCTCTAAAATGTTTAAACTATTAATTATTTTACAGAACACGGAACTTCGCACCTGTGGGGAGCAAACAACAGTCGACGTGGTTGGAGCCGCAAGCGTACATCGGCTCCACAAATGAGCAACGTGCACGGTTCCATGCCCCGGGTGGCACTTGTACTGCGTTCGCGACGCAGCTGGCCCGTCGCTCCACAGTCATGTCGCAGGTAACATTAGACTTTCTTTTTGTAATCCTAATATCATTTAGCTTAAAGGTTTTATTTATTTGCCATAACCACTATGGTATGCATAACCACATCTTATGAATATGGCAATGCAATTAAGCACAACAAAGGGATTCATATTGTTTACATGTCCAACATTTTAAAATGATCGTTTTACTTAATACTAAATTTGATGTTACAGTACTCTTCACTTTAAACGTATTAATTACTTCAGAAGCTAAGTTATAGTCCTTAAAAAGTCTTGTTTTATTTGATTCAATATTACTGTTCTTCATAACGGTAGTGTAGCATTCAAGTTCTAGTTTACTTTAGAATTAGGTCGTTGCCGGTTTCTATGACAACACACCTGTTCCATAAAACAAGTAGTACTTAGACTCTTAAAAGGATATTACCTACGCATTCACCATCAGACAATAATGTTATCACGCGTGTTATGAGATAAATTAAATTACGATTTACGTACTTGAGATGCCTCTAACATGTATGAAATACAGTCTAAAAAAACTTTTGATTCCAAATGTAGCAAAAATGTTCGAGTTATAATAGTCATGGCAGAAAGTTGCATTACTTGACAACTAAAAGTTAATACATTACAGTTTAATAAAACTAAAAATAACGAACGATTAAAGCGTGGAATATAAACTAAAAAGTATATTTTTACCCGACCTGATTAATCTATTTGAAAAACTTCGGTACTGAGATGTCGTCTATATGACATCGGAATCAAATTAGAATGAAACTTTTGCCGATATCATGCCTTTTATCAGGTGATTCAATATAGATGCGACATCTACTATTTCTAGCGTATCCTATACATGCCATAGAATCGTATAACTAATAAAAACTTTTAATAAATCTAATCGTACTCGTAATCGTAATATGGGGCGACCGGGGTCACCATTTCTTGGTAAAACTTATTTTAATACCCGATCATAATATAACTCATCAATTCTGTAGAGTACCTGAAGTAGTCTTGACTAATCCTTTCGAACATTATTTTACATCTAAAAGTGAGTTTACTGTGTTATAATTTGTTTGATGGCTGCGTTGTCATGCGCGAAATACTTAATTGTTCACCATAAAGTTTTACACAAATCTTGTTAGAGCCTGCGCCTGTGTGAAGGAACCTGTGTGTGCCTATGTGTGTGTGAAGTATATAGAGTGCCGTCCATAGAGAATTATTACGGTTCCAAAAACAGCAAAAGGCAACTTTATTTCTAAAATTTACAATAAATTAAGCAAAAAGCCAGGAAAAAGGAAATATTAATATAAATGCAAATGTGAGTGAGTATATTTGTTACTACTTAACCGTTCACCATAAAATGCATTTCGCATATTAGAGATACCGAAAATGTCATAGACTTCAAAGTACAATACCCGTAAAGATGGAAAACAACTTACAAAAGAAACGGACGGACACGGACTAGTCTATTTTTTTTATTTATTTATTACATAAAACAACTTGACAGAGAAAATGTACAAAACGTCAGCTTCTGGAGAAACCACATAGGTTTATGTTTGCGCTCTTTTTTTTATAATTTGAAATCATCTTCCGAGACATTGACAGCGCGGGTAGTGAAACTTTGATAATAAAAGTGCAATACGAGTATGTTTAGTTTTTATTTTATTAGATAAGAAATCTTTCATCCATATATGTTAAAAATAAATAAACAGTAGCATTATTTGATTATTATGATTGTTACAAGTTGTTATGGCTTTGGTGCAATGTTTGTTAACTAAAAGCTAACCTAACTAAAAATTAAGAGAAGCCATTTCTACCTTACTGGGAACAATTTTATTTATACCTATTAGTACTTGTATAATGACAAATGACTTTCAAAAGTTGTTTTAATCGCTTCATGTGCTTGAAAGAATATACGTAAAGTATTATTTAATTCATTATTTTACGATTATGACACATTTTTTTATTGGTCTCTGCAATCACTCACGAATTAAAAACCTATTTTGCGTAATGGAAAAAAACTAGTAATTGTCTTTACTTCAACATCATCAATAGACTAAATACTTTTAAACATACTACATACTTTTAAATCGTTATTCTCAATTTTTAAACATACTGCCTACTCGCGGATTGTAATAAATAGAAAATGGGCCATATATACGTTAGCTAATGTATGGCCCATTTTCAACCTATCAGAGGTAAAAAAATTGATATTGAATTTTTTGCACAGTCTACATACTCTTAGAAATTCGCGATCACCTGGTATTCAACGTTATTAGAAAACTTAAATCTAGTTAAAAGTCGAGAAGGTTGTCTGTAAGACGTTGTATTGAAAGTGCTAACTGTGTTGTTCATTAGTTCAGTTAATCTAGTTATCTACAAAGTTCAAACTGAAAGTCAAAATATCTTTTTTTTATAATTTGAAATATAATTTATGAAATATAATTGAATAACAACAATCTGTTTTATCAAATATTTAGCAAAATGAAGTCAATCCCTCATATGAAATACGAAAACCTTTATTCCGTCAGTCACAAATACGAATTTCAAAATATCGATTTTCATAATTTCGAATGGTTCAATATTCCTAATATAACAACTCCGATTTATAATTTATCCTATTCCAAACTAGGCAGAGCCTGTACTATGGTAACCAGACTGCTGATAAACATACTTACATATTTTTAAATACATCCATATCTTAGATTAATTACACCGAATCAAATAGATGGAATAACAAAAACTTCGACTTCATGATAATTTGAACCATCAAAAATTGAAATGCCGATTATTAAAATACAATGATTGTTCACTTTTGAATATAAATATTTTCTTTCCAATTAAAATATTTTCTTTCGCTGGTCACAGTTCTAACCTAACCTTACCCAAAATGATTGACCCAGATTGGAGATCTGAAGTGCCATTAGTCTATCCTTATCTAACCAAAAGAACTCAATAACAGTAGATGTTTATTTAAGCAGTTGGCAAGGGCAGCAAAAACAAGCTGGGGACTAAATCCGGAGATAATCCGTACCAACTATGTAGCTACCATCGAGCCTATAATGCTGTACGCGGCCAGCACATAGGCACCCGAGGTCGAGAAGCATGGCGTCAAAAAGAAGCTGAACGCAGCTTTGCTCAAAAAATCTACAAAGCCAACTGCACGGTCTCCCTCAACTCTACATTGGTCCTGGCTGGGACACTGCCCCTTTGATCTTTGCGTACGTGAATTAGCCTTGTTGTACAAGGCCTAGAAGGGACAGCCCCTGTCGGTTCTACGAGGGAGGGAGATCGAGCGGATGGCTTCAGTGTTGGATAGCCCTCATCCTGCGAAACATATAACCTGGAGGCACAAGCGACTCTAGAGTGCAGATTTTCACAGAGGGTAGCAAGATTGAGGGCCGGGTGGGTACAGCCCTCTCGATATCTAAGGATGGAGCTGAGACTAGGACCCACAAACTCTGTCTTCCACCGTACTACACAGTCTATCAGGCGAAACTCCTGGCAATATGCGAACCAACAAGGGTTATAATTAAGCACAATTCGGCAACATTCGGTATATACAGCGAACAAAAACGGTTAAAACAAGAGAACACATAAGAACCATCTCCCAACAAAATAAAATGGTAAGTTTATTTTGGATCAAAGCCCGACCGGTTGGCAAAGGAGGCGGCTCAGGGACTGAGGAGGCGTCCAGACTACGATCGCTGTAGGGTGTCATTCGCCAAGCGAATCATCCGTATGGGGTCGCTCGACAAATGGAACCGGAGATACAAGTCCGGTAACGCCGCTTCGGTGACAAAGATCTTCTTCCCGAACGTGGTGGACGCGTACAGCATTGTACGTTAATTCGAACCAACATGGTACAGACACTAGCGGGGCATGGTGGGTTCTCAGAGTACTTGACCCAATTTAAGTGCAAGCAGAATCCATCATGCATCTGTGACCCAGACGTAGAAGAAAACGTTCCTTATGTCTTAACAGAATGCCCAATCGTCTCTAAAAATAAGTACGACATTGAACAGATATTGGACACGAAGATTTGCTATGGGAGATCTGCATTCTTAAAAATTCAGTAAAGAAAGGGCTAGATTTTTTAATTATTGTACCGAAATAGTCAAAATAGTAAACAAACGGAACAAAACGAATTAACATAATATGTTATGATTTCAGCATAATTTGAAGATAGAGAAGATATTAATGGAGATATAATATAAGATGCAAGTGTAAGAAGTACGATAAAATATAAAAATGTAAAAATATAACTTTATAGATATAGAAACATAGACATTACCATATAAGAAACAAAATATTATGTTTAGCGTAAATAAGATAGAACATAAGGCTATATGTTAAATTAAGTAACATTACCTTGGAAACATTAGCAATAGATGAAATAAAATGTAAAATTAAGTATAAAACTTAATGCATAAAGTTAAAAAGGGTTCAAAAAAACAGTAGATAGTTTCCGACGCAGGTACGGAGAAGAAAACACAAAAAAGTACTAATACGCAAATATTAATAACAAAGTAGATGTTTTTAAATAACACTAAACGTGACTTATAGATTTGGAACAAATTTGCGTAACTAAATATTGATATAACTAACTGAATCAGAATCTTAATTTTAGCAGTTTATTCTAAGTATTAAAAAAAGGAATGTAGTTTTTCGGACCGAGAACCCATCGAGCACTCGTCAATTTTTTTTAAATCGCCAAACAAACAAATCGCATTTATGACTTTCGGTAAATTAAATTTCGTGAATTTTAATAATAGATATTATAATTCTTAGGTATTATGAAATTTGGACTTTTAAAAATCGGAACATCGAAATTCGTAATAAAATATTTCGGAGTATTTGGGTGTTCCCAATCTTATCATTACTACTTTTAATCTTTGAACTTATAAAATGAGAATTAGCTAATTTACAAAGTTTCTTAGACAGCTTCGAATATTCTTTAACATTATTATGAAACTGTTCACTTTTATTATGATTCCTCTCATTATATAACTCGCGTAATCTTT